AAAAACTATATTATGCAGAAAAATAAACTGAACAACTTTTGCCTCAGGGTCACATCGAAATTATGCACCAAATTTAGGAAAAAAAATAAAATTAAAAAATATTTTTTTTATTATATTTTTTTAATTGTTTTTGGCCCGGCCGGGCAAGTGACCCCGGGCCACTCTGGTAACCTAGTTTATTAAACTTTATTTATTTATTTATTTATAGTAAACGGTGTGACTTGCATTATTGACTCTCAACAAAATCAAAGATCGAAGGGACTGACAGAGACTGACAGAGACTGACAGAGACTGATACAGACTGACAGAGACTGACACAGTTGGGTCTCCTCACATCGTTCACCCCCTTCAACGATTTGTTGGCAAGATGAGTCGCCACGTGGCTGTCTGATTAGTCGATGGGGTGACATTTTTTCAAAGTTATTTTATCCATTTATTAAATTTTATTTATTTAAGTAGCCGGGGTGACTTGCGTCATGGACCTTAAAATCAAAGATCGAAGGGACTGACACAGACTGACACAGACTGACACAGACTGACACAGACTGATACAGACTGACACAGACTGACAGAGACTGACAGAGACCGACACAGACTGACAGAGACCGACACGGACTGACACAGACTGACAGAGACTGACACAGACGGACACAGACGGACACAGACTGATAGAGACTGACAGAGACTGACAGAGTTGGGTAGGAAACCAATCTGCGTGCAGAGACCCACAGAGTGATTTCCCCTTTGGGTAACCCGTTCTAGCGTTTCTGATGATTGACAAGGCGGTTGATGGACCGGCTGAGGTTTTGAACGGGTGACTTGCGAGATGCGAATGACTGCTCGATTGATTTTCTGTTATTGGATCCTGTCGCCCGTTGCTGGGGGTATGTAATTGAACTGACTGATGGCCAGTGCTTCAATCTCGTGTCCGTGGCTTTTTCCTCATGTGATGGGGAGGTCTCGATCCAGTGACATGCGTGAGAGAGAGAGAGAGAGAGAGAGAGAGAGAGAGAGAGAGAGAGAGAGAGAGAGAGAGAGAGAGAGAGAGAGAGAGAGAGAGAGAGAGACTGATCGATTGGGTTTGAGAGTAATTGGTATGGGTTGGCAAGTGACGGATGGACAGTGCATCTCTATCTCACGTCATTGGCTTTCCTTTTTTGGTTCGGGTTGGCGTTATTGGAATGGGTTGCCTTCTTCTTTGTTTGTAGGTTGTTGATTGGGTAACAGGAAAAGAGAATTGAGCCTGCTGGCGGCGAATACTTGCCTGCCGCGACGGACGGATTGACAGACTTGATTGAGTCAGGTGATCTCGCTGATTGAGTCAGGAAAGAGGATTGGGCCGCTGATTCGCTGATTGCAGCCCCGCCCAACAGACGGACGATATTGGCTGCTGAGTGCAGAACAGATGACCGCTGTGGGTGTATCGAGTTCTTCACTGCGGCGGGTGATGTTTGTGCTCATCGATGGTGGATGCCGACATGTGTACTGGTCCCCATGACTGAAGAAGGAAGACAGCAGACGCCATAAGGAGGCAAAAGGTGAGCGAGAAAAGAGAGGTTCCCATCGATGGTGGACGGCGACTGGTAATGAAAGACTTCGCGATCAGTGGAACTGAAGAAGGAAGCCAGCAGACGCTGTGAGGACCCAAAAGGCCAGCAAGAAAAGATAGCGGGATTTAAGGGAGGAGTGAGGGAGGGAGGGAGGAAGAGAAGTTTGGAAAAAGGAAGGCAACGAAGAGAACAGGGGACGAGAAGATTGGAAGGAGGAAAGGAACGAGGACAAGGGGGGCAGAGAAAGGACGGCAGCAACCGGGACACGGCATCATGAAAGAGAAGGGAGGAAGAAAGGAAGGTAGGTAGGTAGGGAGAGAGGGAGGGAGGGAGGGAGGAAGGGAGGGAGGAAGGAGGGAAATAAACGACGAGAAGGGGAGCAGAGAAAGGACGATATCAACAAATACCCGTCATCGAGGAGAAGGAAGGGAGGAAGAAAGGAAGGTAAGTAGGTCTGTAGGGAGAGAGGGAGGGAGGGAGGGAGGGAGGGAGGGAGGGAGGGAGGACGATAGCAACGAGTACCCGCCCATTGAGGAGAAGGAAAGGAGGAAGAACGGAAGGAAATAAGCGGAAAGACGGGAAAAAAAGGAGAGGGAGGGAGGGACGGACTGTGATAAGCCAAGGAAGTTGACGATATGGAGTTCTTCGCAGTGGGGGGAATTCATCCTCCCCCTTGCCTGAAAGGAACTACTTTGATCCTTCCTGTAGTGTCAGTTGGAAACGTGGGTCAATTGGCGATTGACCTTTTGATTGCTACAGCAGATGTTCGTCGCGTAGGCTATCTTGACGAGCCGAACGTGCTCCCTTGTGTGGGGAACGATGCGTTTGGAGAAGTGCCTGAAGGGAATCTGACCTTGGGGCTGGAAGTCTATCAAGATGTAAAATCGGAGTTTACCGTTGTGCAACAGCGAGGGCCAACAGTAAAGGGAACGTTCAGCAAATTCAGTGACAACTTGGTGTCATGGATTGCGGAGACTGGATTTGTGGAGGTGGTGATTCTCTCAGGGTTCGATCCAGGGAAGCATCTAGCGTCTCGAGTGTTTGGGAGAGAGGTTCATTACCTTTCCTCTTTAGGAAACGAGGGCATAGACCAGCGGTGTGAGGCACAGGGTTGGACACCGTTGGATCTTGGGGCATCTCTAGATCCATCGCTGCCTGGACCAGAGTCACGCAGAGCTCCTGGCCGCCTCTATGGGGTTGATGAAGAACTTGAGGGGGTGGAGGAAGGCATCAGTGGAAGTGCACATGGTTTAAATAGTGAGCAAGGAGGAGGAGGAGGAGGAGGAGAAGTAGGAGTAGGAGGAGGAGTAGGAGGAAGAGTGGGAGGGGGAGGAGGAGGAGGAGGGGGAGAAATGAGAGGAGGGTCCTCATGGGGATTGGATGATGGGTTTAAGAGATCGAAGTTCTGGAGGATGTTTCAGAAACTGAAGGAGAAGCAGATCCAGACACTTGTCATTGTGATGTTTTGCTCTCAAGGAGATAATGTAGAAGATGGCATGATTATGGCTAATTGTGTTGACAAAGCGATCTTTCCTGTTATGGAAAAGAAGACGCTTTTGCATGCTGGAGACGACCAGGGGGGGGCTGGGAGATCTGGGGGCTATACTGACGGAAGTAGTGACACAGGCATTCATCTAGAAATGAGATGGAAGATTCCGATTTCTTGGACCTCTTTGTATGGGCCTTCTCCAGATTTTACCTTGTTCTAAGAAAAGAGGTCCAAGAAATCGGAATCTTCCTCTTTGTATGGGCCTTCTCCAGATAAGAGACTAGATTTAGGTAGGTAGGGCCATCAATCAGATCACCGTAGGGTAGGTAAGGAGGAGCAAGGGTTAGAACGGGGAGGTTCTTGCTACGCGCTTGGTAACAGAGTAATAAGGGGATGATTGCTTGATGAAAGACATCAATCGGGGAAATTACTGTTGGTGTCAGCCCTGTACTCCACGTCTCATTCTATGTGTTGTGGGCCTTCTGCTCCTCCTCTTTTGTCTTCTTCGTCTTCCTCTTCTTCTTCTTCTCCTCCTCCTGCTGCTGCTTCCCTGCCCTCCACGTCTCATTCTATGTGTTGTGGGTCTTCTCCTCCTCTTTCTTCTTCTTCTTCTTCTTCTTCTTCTTCTTCTTCTTCTTCTTCTTCTTCTTCTTCTTCTCCTCCTCCTCCTCCTCCTGCTGTTTCCCTTCCCTCCACGTCTCATTCTGTGTTGTGGGCTCCTCCTCCTCTTTTGCCTTCTTCTTCTTCTTCTTCTCCTCCTCCTCCTCCTCCTGCTGCTGTTTCCCTGCCCTGCATGTCTCATTCTGTGTTGTGGGCTCCTCCTCTTTTGCCTTCTTCTTCTTCTTCTTCTTCTTCTTCTTCTTCTTCTTCTTCGACTTCTTCGACTTCTTCGACTTCTTCGACTTCTTCTTCTTCGACTTCTTCTTCTTCTTCTTCTTCTTCTTCGACTTCTTCTTCTTCTTCTTCGACTTCTTCTTCTTCTTCTTCGACTTCTTCTTCTTCTTCTTCTTCTTCTTCTTCTTCTTCTTCTCCTCCTCCTCCTCCTCCTCCTCCTGCTGCTGTTTCCCTGCCCTGCACGTCTCATTCTGTGTTGTGGGCCTTCTCCTCCCCTCTTTTGCCTTCTTCTTCTTCTTCTCCTCCTCCTCCTCCTGTTGTTGCCCTGCCCTTCACGTCTCATTCTGTGTTGTGGGCCTTCTCCTCCTCTTTTGTCTACTTCTTCTTCTTCTTCTTCTTCTTCTTCTTCTTCTTCTTCTTCTTCTTCTTCTTCTTCTTCTTCTTCTTCTTCTCCTCCTCCCTTCTTCTTCTTCGTCGTATTCTCCTCCTCCCGCTGCTTGTCATTCTTCTTCTTCTTCTTCTTCATCGTAGTATTCTCCTCCTCCCGCTGCTTGTCATTCTTCTTCTTCTTCTTCCTCTTCTTCTTCTGCTGCTGCCGCTGCTCTCAATGTTCTACTTCTTCTTGTTGTTCTTTTGAAGTCCTTGATCACGTTTGATGTACTTTGTCTTGTGTCTAAGACATTGTAGTTGAAGAAGACAAGACATTGCAGCGTAGGAGGTGTCTTGCTTGTGGTTTGTATAGTTTGCTGAGTGGAAATTACTCGGATGCTGTGGTCTTCGCTGTGTACTCAAGTCTACAGCTTTTGGGTAGAACGAATCCCTGTTATTCAACAAATGTGGTCATTAAAACCCGAATTCTCACCGGAAAAATGTTTGTAAGGCAAAGGTTGTGTGACGACTGCATAATTTGGAGGGACTGCTAATACAATTCTCTCAGAGAGGTGTCTGTGACAGACTGCTGATGTCAAACGTTCGCTGAATTGTCTGGAAGATGAAGTTCGTGCAAGGAAACTGCACTGGAGAAACTCGAATTACAGTATTGAACCTAACCCCCCTCGCGCTAGATGGGAGGAGGAGGGCACCCCCTACCAAGACCAACCAGGGCCCAGTCAACTATCTCAGCTGGTGAATCAGAAGCGCGCCGCAGGGGGTGCAGGGAGTTCGATGGATGACGTGGGGGAGTCGAACCCATGACCTCCTGAATGCCACTTACGTGCTCTACCAAGTGAGCCGGGCCGCTGGCCCCACATGGTAGTGATTATAATTCGGCCTTGCCATGAAGAAAGGCAGCAGACCAAAAAAAAAAAAAAAAAAAAAAGAAAGAAAGGCAGCAGACCAGGCTTGGAGGTCTCTTCTCCTGCTGTTTATATCCTCTTCTTGTTCCGGTCCTTGTGGTCTTGCTTAGCACTCCTTGTCTAGGCCTTCCGAGGCAACCCTTTTTTTTTTTTTTTTTTTGAGACGATGCTCCACGGTTCCCTTCTGAGGCATCCCTAATCAACATCATGCAGAACTCACCTCTAGCTGTGCCATGGGAGAGTCAGACAGGCTAGCATGCCTGCGCTGTGACAATTCACGAAACTAAGGTATGATGCAGAGGACATGTATGACAACGAGGAACCTGAAGCAGCAACATCAACAGCAGAAAAGGAGGAGGAGAAGGAGGAGGAGGAGGAGGAGGAGGAGGAGGAGGAAGAAGAAGAAGAAGAAGAAGAAGAAGAAGAAGAAGAAGAAGAAGAAGAAGAATGAGGAGGAGGAGGAGGGGAGGTGGTGCCGGGGTCTTGACTGGCACACGGGAAGCTGGTTTGCTCAGCATTTTCCCAATTCACAAAGGTGAGCTGAGGTGTCTATCTGCTCTGGGCTAGACACATTCATGTTTGCTGGCTTGGGCCGCACCTTAACCCCTAAGCTAGGGAGTGCAGAGTCTGACAGAGGTGAGGAGGCGGCATGGAAGTGAGAAGTGAGAAGGAGGAGGATGGCGAAAATGAAAATGAATTAGCACGTGCCTGGTCAATTGACTTGGTTTAGGTTTAAGAGGGCCCAGAAAACCAATTCCAGTACAGTTACTTCACACTCTTTAGTGACCCTTGTCAATACTCTGGCCCCCCTAGCTTCGTCAAGCCACAGCCTTGGAATATGATTTTTAAACATCTGTTTTATGGTTGCCTACTGCAGAATAACTGCAACCAGCAGGAGCTGGATGAGATGAGACGAGATGAAGAATGGAGCGGGAGAGGAAGAGGTAGAAGGAAGAGGAATGATGGAGAACATAAGTTAGAGAGTGCCGAGTCAGTTGATGTGGGTAAGGTCTGGGGTTACCAGACAGCTTTTCTAAATGACTAAAACACTCGTCTACCTCAGTACCTAGCTGTCTGGCGATGCTCCCACGAAAAGTGAGATAAGACACTTTTTTATGGCCTTTTAAAGCACCAGTCCCAGCCCCCTTCCTCCTCAAAACAAACTCGTCAATAAGGTATTCTTCACAATTTGCGAGATAAAAAATATTTGTTGGCAGCACCGCGAAAAGTGAGAGTTCGGGTACTTGCAATTTAGCACACCCACCTTTGCAAAAGCACCGTGAAAAGTTCGGGTACTCGCAATTTAGCACACCCACCTTTGCAAAAGCACCGCGAAAAGCGAGATAAAAAATATTTGTTAACTTTACTTTTCATTTTAAATATGGTAAAGAATTTCGATGTGACCCTGAGGCAAAAGTTGTTCAGTTTATTTTTCTTCATAACATAGTTTTTTTCCAGATTTTTTTGATTTTTTTTTTTTTGCTAGGATTTTCCCTGGTCCTTGCACGGCCGGGCCGTCCGGGAAAATAGGGTGACCCGGGCGGCCCGGCTGGTAGCCTAGGAAAAAAGTTGAAAATCCCTGTCGATGACTCTTCGCCGAGTCTTCGGTCTATTTTCAGGGTTAAAAGAAGCAAGAGATGACCAAGTGCACCGAGGCGCATGATGTCGTTTGATGTTTGGGTCAAGTATTTTGTTGCAGATGGTGATTGCATTAACAATGTCATGTGGATGCAAAGTACAGTAGGAACAAGTGTCATGCTGATCGATTGTTGTTTGGTCAGAAGCATGGGGCTCAGCTACATCAGCCTCGAAAGCGAAGAAAAAAAGAAGAAGCTGTCAAGAGTCCTCGCAAAACTGGAAACACTGGGAATTCGATGTTTTTCATTGCATTGCGGACTTGGGAAAAGCTGCTCTGGAAAGACAGATGACTGCAGAGGAAAGGGCAAACCCTTGTTGGTCCCGACTTGGACCTACGCTCAAATTGTGAAGTTCCACCAAGAGCGAGGTTGAACACGAGGACTGAATTTAATCGGGTGTAATCAGGCCCACCATACATACACGAAAGGCTGGCGCATTAAACCACCAGTACACCCATACATCAGCCACGGGCCCCTTTCGGAGGCCGGTAATGCTTCGGAGGCCGCGGATGGAATTTATCAACGGCGGCCCATACATCGGCTGCACGCCCCTTTTGGAGGCCGGTAACGCTTCGGAGGCCGCGGATGGAATTTGTCAACGGTGGCCCCGCCCCGCCCTGCCCCGCCCCCTGAGACCT